TTTTTTTTTTTTTTTTTTTTAAATTTTTCCAGCGTTTATTTATTACAAGGACAAGCAACAAAACATAACGAGAGGACAGGCGACTCGAGAAGCCATCAACAACAAGCGTCTGTGGCCAGATCATTTCTAATATTCATCACCAAGCATATTTTTAAAAACACTCATGGCAAGCAGACCCCAAGAGGTTTATGCAGGCTATTTGTGGAGGTCTCCAGAGCCCCACCTTTCTGTCCCGGTAGGTGCACTAACGGCAGGCGTGAATGATTCCTTCGAAGCCGATGTGATAACATTCCAGAAGCAAGATCCTAGTCCCTGTCAGTAGGCATCGGGCAATTACAAATCAAAGGCTGGACGGAGGACTGTCAGGGGATCAAGCTCCAAGCCCCATCCCTCAAGGTTTAAGTTCCAGCCTCCCTGAGACTCTTGCATACTTTTCCTGCAAGGTAGAGAGGGTTTCTGAACGATTTTGGCTGACCTACATAGCTTGAAGATTTTTAAATTCACCAATTTAAGCCCACTTCTAACATCGACTGTGCTAGTCACTAGGCCACTACGTTCACCAACAAAAACCCACTGCTGACATTCGGTATATTAACTAGCATGGCGTGGCTTGTTGGTCTAGAACGGTTAACAGCAGAGCTTGGAGTAGTCCCTTCAGTAAGTTTGAACTTCCTGATTTGAGCAAGAGTGGATGTGCCATCCTAGACCGTGAGCTCCTGATCAGCACCTTGGTAGAGCAGAACCCAGGTAGCCTAAGTCCCTCTCAGGGTACCTTGAAGCATTTCTAGGTAAATAAACAGGCATAACAATAACAAATTGGAGTTTCACACTACCGAATTCTTCTGTGTCCAATATTCCCCATGAGTTCTCAAAATTGCTAAATTAGAATGTTTTACTCCACGTTTCTGAGATGGAGTTCGAAGCAGAAGGACAACGAAGGTGTTCATATTACACTCGCTGGAATACTAGTTCAAGAGCCGAGCTGACTTTCTAGGCAAAGCCTGACCTGGTGGTTCGTTATGGGGAACGTCTTGTCTCCAAGTCTGGTCCTCCAGTAGAAGGTCTAAGCACTGTATCTTATTTATCAACTCACTTAGGTCAAAGCACAGGGGAATACTCATGCTAACCAAAACCAGATGTCTGCTATCTAGATTATGTCTTTTGTGTGAATCTATATGTCCAAGGATCTGAATTACCCTGTGGCACTACAAATAGAACAGAGAACTAGACGGTCCTACGTAGCTGATTTATGGCAGTCTGATGAGTGTTCCACTCCTCATGACAGTAAATCCCAGCCTTCTGTGGTCTGATGAAACGGAGCCCCCAGAAAAGGGCTTCGTCTCATCAATTCTTATTATTTCTTTCACTGATTCTGGGATTCATACCTTTACCATCTTTCGTTGAAATCTCAGACTGCACGAACCATGGTAATTGCCCTTATATATTATTCTCCATTCAGACTTCCACCTTTCCAGAGTCACTTCACTGCATATTGCAATTTGCAGTATATACATATTGCACTGTATATGTTGCAAATTTGCCAGGTTGTGTTGGCAGGCATGCAGACCCACTATGGTCAGTTGGCCAGACCCAGGAGACTTCCCGAATTTCCCTCAGCAGCAAGGTCACAAACCTTCTTGCAGGTGGCCTGACTTTGGCAGACGGCTAAGCCCTACTGTCCTTTTTTTTCACATTTTTACTGATCTCCCTTTTAAACATCTAGACCAGCTCCAAATAGAGGATATCCTCTATCCCAGCGCTCAAGGACATTTGGCAGTAAGATCCAAATCCCACATCAAGACTGCTCCTGCCCAGCTCCCATCATACTTCCCATCTTGGTTTTCAGCTCTAGCCACGTGACAAACACTTACCGATGGATATTTACAAGAGTGGATGTGCTATGTCATTGCAGCAAAATTTAAGACATAAAAATGATGCAGTCTCAGGAGGTTTTCCATAAAGGATTTAGTAGTATAATATTGTCCTGGCTAGAGACCTGGCCATTTCCTTTCCCAACCCTTTATTTAAGACCTTGGGTTATGGATGAAGCACAACATAAAACAAGTTTACCTAACAGAGCCTGCACCACATAATCACAGATTACAGCTGGTGATAAAAGAAAAATAAGCACTTTACATATGATGAGTCCAGAAAGAATTTAAATTACAAACCTAGCCTGAAAACTCTTGGCTTTTATTAGACTACAAGACCGATAATATCCAAGTGGGATATATAAATGACTATGCTTAGAGTCAGCACTTGACTCGTAATCAAATCCTCATGCTGTTTCATCTGAGATGTTATCACTTTTAATAATTGGTGGGTGATATTTTCATATAAACACACATTACATTTACACCCGTTTCAAAGAAGCATTTGAAAAGTTAAAATTGTGCCGCAAGTAACACAAAGTTAAAAACTTTAACTTACAAAGTAAACTGAACTATTAACTTAAAAAGTAAAAAGTATTTTAGCTTATAAGACATTTCACCTTTTTTTTTTTCAAAGTTTTTATTTATTTTTGGGACAGAGAGAGAGACAGAGCATGAACGGGGGAGGGGCAGAGAGAGAGGGAGACACAGAATCGGAAACAGGCTCCAGGCTCCGAGCCGTCAGCCCAGAGCCTGACGCGGGGCTCGAACTCCCGGACCGCGAGATCGTGACCCGGCTGAAGCCGGACGCTTAACCGACTGCGCCACCCAGGCGCCCCAGACATTTCACCTTTTTAAAAATGGAAAACTTTAAACAGTGTATTCCTTAGCTATGGTTTAGAAAGGAGGGACCCGCGTTGTTACAGTCCTGGTTAGGATCTGTTTTACCATGGGCTGCCTGAGCCGTGTGTTTTCCTTCCTTTATAGATTGCTCCCAACCATCCTGAGAAAGGTTGATTAGCTAGTTTTTACTGGTGAGAAAAAAGAGGCTTGGAGACGTTAAATCAATTTTCCAATGTTCTAACGCAGCTAAATTTCACAGGATTTATTTATTTTTAATGTTTACTCCAGAGCTCGTGAGCTTTCCACTAAAAATCATCAATTAATTCATCGTGCGATACAAGAGCCTGTATTTAGTATGACAAATGCTTTGACAGGGCCAACCCCAGTTGTTTATAGGTGAGAACATTATCTGAAATGACCAGTTTTATAAGGCAGAAGGCCTGAGAGGTAAACGTAGGTAACTGACAACAAGAGAAGTGCGTTAGGTAGTTAATAGTTTCAAAAACAATCCTGCTCATAACTTGGTCTCCCAGGCATTGAAATCTGAAACTCTTTGATATGCTCTAGCAAGGCTTGAAACAAAGAAGTTTTGTTCAGTCCATGTTTTCGTGGGATGGTGTAACTATGTCCGTATCAGCCAACAAATGCTGCACAGAGCTGACCAATGACTCATGAAGTCTAAGGTGAGATGTCCCTCTTCAGTTTCAAAATACTCACTTTGAATTGCATTAACGGAAGCAGCCAACAGCTTGTCACGGTCTTTTCACCACCTTGGCCCAGTCCTAACCAGATTACATTTTTTTTTAAACAACAGACTTCTAAGTTTGTTTTTTTCCTTTGAGATAATATGTTTTATTTATTTTTTAATAGAATTTATTGACAAATTGGTTTCCATACAACACCCAATGCTCGAGACAAAGCATGAGAGGGGGAGGGGCAGAGAGAGAGAGAGAGAGAGAGAGAGAGAGAAAGGGAAACATAGAATCCAAAGCAGGCTCCAAGCTCAGAGCAGTCAGCACAGAGCCCGAATTGGGACTGGAACCCATGAACCGTGAGATCATGACCTGAGCGGAAGTCAGACGCTTAACCCACTGAGACACCCAAGGTGCCCCTAACCAATTTACATTTTTAATTTTACCTTTTACAATTTTTACCTTTTAGAATTTTTATGTGCACTGTGATAAAAAAAAAATCACTTAATTATAGATTTATACATTTCTCTCTTTTAATATACTTTTTGATTATGATGAAATTTCCCTCAAGAGACTTAGAAGTTAGATTTTGAAAATAAAAATCTACATAAAATAAAAGTAACGCTTTCTGTCTTCACCTTCTTGAAGGAAAACAAAACTTTACAGAAGATCATGTTGGCATTGGTTGCGATTAATTTTTTAGTCGTCTTCGGATTGGGGCCTTCGGTCTTTGTCTTTAAATACAAGAGCAGTGTTAATGTTACCTAATTTCCTTTTTGTAGTTTGAGCTGCCAATATGAAACTTACTTTGTTTTCACACGATTATGAGAGAAAATATTGTTTTCCTGTAGCCCATGTGTTGAAATGGAAATCTAGTCTCTACTTAGCTCTAAAACTAGCAAATGACATACTATGACATTAGAAACGATGTATCACCATTGTCAACACGTAATTTAGAATAACGGATGAACAACAGCTTGACCATTAAGCAGTTTCTCTAACGATTTTAGACACTTTGCAACAATGAATTCCACACTACACTCCATCGCTTAAAACCTAACGCCGGAATTCTGACCTTCATACTAAGTAGGAATGTAGGCTGTTGAATGTGTGCAAAGAATTTTTTGTCCACGAACGCCTACGTCTGTGGTCAAGTGGCAGGTGTAGGCAATTCATCAGGCAGCCCTCTTCCTTCTTATTAAGGCACTGCTCCGGGCGCCCGAGGGTCCTTAGGTCCTGAGCATGGCTATTTGTCGTCCGCCGGGAGGGCGCCTTTTGGCGCAGGGTGCACGGCCAGGGAGGCGAGGGTCGCCGATTTTCGTTCGAACGTCGCGTGGGGAGGGGTGTTCGTGTGAAAAGAAAGGCGCTCGGGAGAAGAGGCGGCAAGGAGAGGCGGGGCGTGGTGGGATGCTGCAGGGGCGGCTAGACGGGTCCAGCTTTTCCCGGGACACTTCTGCGGCGGCCTGGCCGTGGGCGCCCGGGGCACAGGGCGCCGGGTCGGGAAGCCCAGAGTCAGACCCGCGGTGCCAGCCGCCCGGGCCCCTCCGCGCAGGCGCCGCCCATTCCCGCGCTCCGCCCGCCCCCAGGGGTCGCCATGGCAACGGACGCGGGCTTCTGGACTCCGACTCCCCCGAGCCCCCAGCTTCGCGGGAGGCGGCCGGCTGAGCCGCGGGCTCCGATGGCGGGCAAGGGCGACACGCCCGAGACCGAGGAGTGCTGGAAGATCCTCGAGAGCCTCGAGTCGACTATTGAGCAATGCCGGTTCAGCCCCAGGTGACGCGCGCGAGCCGCAGCGCCACCCCTCGTCCGCGCGCCCCTTTCCCGCTCCTCCGCGCCCGCGCCCCGGGCCACGGCCCTGCTGGTCTGATTTCTTAAGTGTATTCACGTAAACTGAGAGCACGGGTTCTGGAGCCAGGCGGCCTGAGTTCAAATCCTGAGACCCACTGCACGGCCCCTGAGTTGGGCGAGTCACTTAAAAACTCTGTCTCAGTCACCTGCTGGGAAAGCAGCCGGGTGGTGCCGAGCAGCGCGTACTTCATAGCCCACAGTGAACATGAAATGGGTGCGTGTGGGTAACGTGTTTAGAAGTGTGCCATACATATATATACATAGTACCCTGTAGGTGTTTGCCAATATTCTAGTTATTTCTTGATGTTTTCTTTACGTCTCCTCCCTCCTGTGACCCTTTGCCCCCCCCTCCCCCCGCCACATTTTGTTTGGATAACGTAGAGGTGATGTATCTGGGAAAATGTATTTTTCTTTCTGAAATCAGTAGGTGGCCGGCACTAGGTTAGCTACCGTGTGCAAGCACTTAAAATTCTCCAAGTCAGGGGTCTCACGGTGCCAGGTGGGCTGGCTTAGAGGCAAGTCCCACACACTGAGGCTCCGGAGTGAGAAGAGAGGACGAGTGAGAAGAAAGGACTCGCCCGATGGTGGGGACTGACCCAGTGAGCCAGTGCTGCTTAAGTGGGTGCGTGTTAAATCAGGTTTTTTTGGTGGTTGTGAAAGTCACATATTGCCGGTGGCTCGTAATAAGCACCATGGGCACAGTGTCTAACCTGTTCGGCTTGTTTACTGCTAGGAATGACTTCCTGCCTGGGCATTGCGTGGCGTGTGGCTCTCCCACAAAACACACCGGCCCCGCTCAGCGGACAAGGTGACGTACCAGGTGCCCAGGGCATGCTTGGGGCCCAAACAAAGGAGCCGCTGATGCCCACGTGAATTCCTCTTCACCCCGAGTGCCAGGGGGACCGGGTTGGTGCTCTGGTAGAAGAGGCTGGAGTGCTGTCTGCCATCCTGGGTTTAGGGCACAGGTTGGCACCGGGCAAGCAGCAGCCTCCACCTCCTCTGAAGCCCCGCCCTTCTAGTCAAGAAACCGATGATGAGCCAGCAAACTAGACGATAAATAAGTTAGCCTGTAAGCGCTGAGGACGGAATAGCAAGGAGGGAGCAGAGGAGCCAGTGTGTGGAGTGGGGAAGCGGATGGTAATTTTAGACACTGATGAAGTTTTAGGGCGATGGGGGCTTGGTTCGTAGGGTCCGGAGCCAACAACCAAGAAAGAATTTTGGAAGATGTCTTTGGTGCAAAAAAGTGATTTTATCGAAGCGCAGGGACAGGACCCTTGGGCAGGACGAGCTGCGCTGCAGGTGGGGGGGCGTGACCATTTGGTGAGGGGAGAAAGTCTAGAGGATAAGAGAATTTCACATGCTAAAGACTTACTTGAGGCCTAGCTGTTGTCAGGTGGGTTTTCCCTCTAGCAAAGCATTAACATTAAGACTCTCGGGAGTTCCTGGACTTTTAGGCTGTTGGTGGGATCGCCTTGATTACCCTTTTCTAGTAAACAGTTGCACATTTGTGTGGGTTTGGTCCTTTCCTGTTTTGGGGTAGCTTGGAGTGTCCAAGGAATATCATACATGTCCCACCTGGGGGGGGGCTGTGAGCCTGTACTTTGCCCCCAGCTTGCCCCACACTCCCTCATCAACACTGTGGTCAAGGAAAGCTTCTCAGAGATGACACTGGAGTGAAGAAATGCAGGCTGGGGGTGGGGGGAACCATTCTGATCTCTCAGGGGACAAAGTGTTCCGGGCAAAGCACAGGAAGCCGGAAGGGGTGGGGCTGGGTGTCTGGGGCCCAGCCAGGACCCCTGTGTGCCTGCAGCAGAGAGAGGGGAGCGCAGTGGAGAGGAGGTCAGACCTAAGGGGGACAGTGCCAGACGGTGGTGTGGGACCTGGATCATCAGAAGGACCTCAGCTTTGACTTTCAGTAAGGTATCAGATGTGCTTTTTCAGCACCGCCAAGCAATTCTCCAAATGTCAGCACTGACTGAGTGTCCTACACTTTAACTCAGTGCTGACACTGCTACCTAGAGACAGCCTCAAACACCACAGGTCAAGGGCTCAGTCCCACCAGCCTGCTCTCCCCCACCCCACTTAAGGTGCCAGTTGCAAATCCAGGTTGTTACCTGTGCTTCTGACCATTCAGCCTTAAGTGAGTGGTTCCCCTAACTCCCTCTGTGGGTTCAATTAATTTGCTAGAGCCACTCCTAGAACTCAGGGTAGTAAAGGAGACAAATACATACATGACCAGATAAAGAGACACATAGGGTGAGGTCTTGAAGGGGCCAGAGCACAGAAACTTCTCTCCCCATGGAGTTTGGAGTGTGCCACCCTCCTGGCACCTGGCTGTGTTCTTGTTCATCAACCCAGAAGCTCGCCGAGCCTTGTAGTTCAGAGATTTTTATGGAGGCTTCATTACAGAGGCCCAATTGATTGAAATCATTGGCTTTTGGTGATTGGGTCTACCTCCAGCCCCTTCAGAGGGAGGTCTGGTCATGGGACTGACAGGTTCCACCCTCTAATTGTGGTTGGTTTCCCTTGCAACCAGCCTCCATCCTTAGGGGCTTTTCACAAGTCCCCTTAGGAACATCAACTAAGGTGTGGTTCAAAGGAGTCTGTTATGAATTACAAAAGACACACAGTTGACCTTTTTCCACATCGAGGCTATTTCAGGAACTGAGGACAAAAGACCAAATATAACAAAAGATGATCCTATTGCCCTTGTCATTCAAGAAATTCCAAGGGTCTTGGGAGCTTTGAGGCCGGAACCTTGGATGAAGACCAAAATATATATTTCTTATTATAAATCACACTGTCAAAGATGGGAAGCCATTGCGGGGTGGGGGTGGGGTGGGGATTGGAACAGAGGAACAATTTCATATGATTAATCTTTCAACTGGATTACTCTGGCTGCTGTTTTGATAATAGATTATAATGAAGATAAGGGCAGAAACGGGTAGACCAGTTAGGTGGTATGGGGGGGGAAATCATTTTGCCCTTACCTTTCTGTGTTCTCGGATGAGACCAACCCCATAATAAGAGATAGATTAACAGGAAAAAACAAACAAACAGAAGTTTAATAGGGTGCATGCCTCTTGTATACATACACGACAGATACCCAGGAACACTGAGTAACTCCTCGAAACGGCCCAGCCAGCACCTTAAATACCATCACCGAAACACAAAAGATGGAGGTTGCGTAGAGGGGAAGAGTGAGTTATGGGAGATTGTCAGGAAAAGCACAGTAAACAAAAGCATGGCTGTTCTGCAGATTTAAATTGGTGCCTTCTTCTTGGTAAGCTTCTCCTGTGATTTACTCATCCTTTTCTTCCTGGTCTGGAGAGGAAGACACTTCCAAATGGCAATATTTGTAAATGGAAATTTATAAAATATATATGTAATATAAATATACATCAAGAATATGATATATTCTTTATAAATGTAAATTTACAGAAGGATAACTTCTGCTTTGTTTTCAAGAGCTTCTCTTGTGTCTGCAGTTCTCAGAATAATTGACTCACAATAATCCTCATGCCAAAGAGGCATACTTTGAGGAACCATATTCTGCTTCTCTTCAAGTCTGATGTCCAGAAGAGAGGTCCAGGCTGGCTACATCAATTTGGGAGTAATTAGCACAGAGACAGAGAGGCTGGAGGACTTGGCGAGATCACCTAGGAAGTGGGCACAACAAAGAGAAGTCTCTTTGAGCCTGGGGTACATCATAGTTGTGTATTCTTGGAGGAAAGAAAGAGGGAAGCAATGTTTTTCTTATTTCAAATTGAACAGTACGCCACGGTGAAAGTTTAGCATGCCGAATGCCATCTTCTTCGACTAATTCATTAATGAGCATTTGTTAGGGTAGTCTATTCTGGGATTCAGTGAGAAGTATCATTGCATCCTATTAATAAATATTCATGGGTCTGTTTTCTATAATAAATTTACATGTTAATTTTGTATCTAGTTTATTAAAAAAACACAATCGTCATCTTTCCAAGATTGTATTTTATGCACAACAACCAAGCCATTATTCAGAAGTTGAATTGCTGAGACTATAAATAAGGACTGTGTAGGAACCACTTAGCTAATTTGTTGTGATGTGGGTTTCCATTCTAGGCACGGGGGCTGCCATTTAAAATTAGAGACATTTGGAATGTGACGGGAAACTGAAGAATGAACCGTCATGTTTCACTTAGATCCTGAATGAGCCAGATCTTTCTGAGTCGATTATACAAAAATTTAAGACTCGAGAGACCTTGGAGCCGTGAGCCTGTTCCCACTAGGGATGGAGAACTGGAATCTGTCACTTCAGGCTTATGATTCTAGAGGAGTTATTTCCTCTCTTCAGATCCTGGTTTCTACATCTTCAAAACAAGAAAGTCAGTATCTCTCTTATGAAATTATTGGGAGGATAACCTGAAGGGGAAATGTGCGTGTTAATGCATATATCTTAACAACCACACGGGACCAGTTAAGCACTCAATACATAGTGCTTAATATAATTTTTAGATGCTCTGTAGGAGGTATCTATAGAATTTTTGGACTTGATTTTAAAGCATCGTATTGTAGTATTATAACATTATGGCACCAGAAGGAATAACTGAAAACGTTATGCCAAGTATGTAAATCATATCCTGAAAATATATGTATTGGAGGTGTTTTAAAAATACTTTTAACTTATTTTTACCAGCGTTATTGGCATGTAATTGACATGTAACATTATATATGCATAATAACTACCCACATTCCATAAACCTACTGTCCACAAAAGATTTTTTGCTTAAAATGGAAAAGAAAGAAGATACATGTTCAAGCTTAATGAAAAATGAAGTTGAATAATAAAAAAGAGCTATTTGGCACCAGGGAGGGTAAAAGATTGCATTTCTAGACTGGAGGATGAAGCATTGAGGTCTGTGAAACGTGCAGCATTGTAGAATGTA